TTTTGTGTAAAATTTATTTAGACTCATAGCAGCTGGCATTTCTGGTGTCCCAATAGTTTTAAATTTCATTCTGAGTGCAAGATACAATTAGGGTCTCTATTGGAAGAGTTAAGTGAAAACTTTTGTCATTGATATCACAGGAAATAGTCTTGAAGGCAGAAATGCAAAATCAAAATAACTATTAGGACCGTCAAAAGCCTCTGAATGGCTCGCGGTACCTGCTGTGGTGGGGGTGATGAAACAAAATTGGTTCTGATAAATCTGTATCCCCAGGGGTGGGTTGCACCTGCTGAGACTGCCAGTGTCACAAGATGAGAAATTGCAAAGCTTAGGAAGGGATGTCTGGGACTTGGGTGCCTGTACCAGGAGCCCCTGCCTGCCTTCAGAGATGGGGCCCTGGCCCGCCTTTCCATACCAGGGTGAGGAATGCCACAGTGGCATGCCTGGAGCCTGACTCATCATCAGAACTGACCTCTGCATAGCAGGCCAGCCTGGTACTCTGGAAGCATCAGAACTGGGGTCACATGCTGTGCTGTCTCCATGGTGGATGGAGGATGCCTCAGACACACAGCCCTTGATGCGGGCCTCTGTCTGCCCAGCCTCGGCAGGGCGGTAGGTAAGTGACCTGCTTCCAGTCCTCAGTCAATCAAGGATTACTGCTCCTCTCCCTCGCATGCTCAGGGCTGGGGGGCCATGACCAGAAGGCCAGGGGAGAGCTGTTCCCATCACTTAGGGCTGCACTTACTTATGCTTAATGGTGCCGAGGTTCTTGCTAGCCAGTCCAGAGGGTGAGAGGTGTCACTGTCACTGTCGACACCAGGCTACCCAGAGTATCCCCAGGATCCCGGTCTGCCCTCTACTGGCCCCTGATGACTTACTGTGCTACCCCCCCCCCCGCCCCCGGCCCTTGAGTCCAAGTGTGCCCTGTTCAGAAACAGGGCTGTGGAGTGAAGGACATTCGGAGCACGTGGGCTAGAGGGCTGCTGCGGCAGAGCAGTCCCTGGGGTGCCGTGCTGCTCTGTGTGTGTGCACTTCCTCCCTGTTTTTTTAGGACACATCAGGGGAGGGTACAGGAACAAGGACCCTGTCCATCCAAGTGACTGTACCTGCTTCCCAACATCTCCGACTTTCACAGTGGTACCCAGTTCTTTCATGACAAAAGAAATGACCAACTGGTTTCCCTGGGTGTACGTTTGTAGAGTGTCACATGCTGGGGAATCCTCACCTCACCCACTACAGACTCACTTGATTGTACTCACACACACACACACACACATGCATACACACCCACAAGGCACCTGCCTGTCCACACACACACACACACGCGTAGACATGCATACACACACAGACCTCTGTACGCTGTAGCTGCTGTGGTTTCTCCCTCCTCGCATTCTGGAGTGAACATTGCAGATGCCTTTTCATCACTTCCCTGTTATTTGTGGTCTTGCTGGCACTGGCCCCTTGAACCCACAAGCCCTTGGGGGCAGGTACACACGGAAGGACTCTGCCAAATATTTACTGAATGGCTGAGGTCAGGGGTAAATGAATTCTGGATGGGTGAAGTGTCAAGGCTGGAGAAATTGGGGCTGACCCAGGTTTTGTGAGTCCCAGGCTGGGCCTAGGGCCAGCTCGTCCTGCCTCGGCTGCTTGGCCCAGGGACAGCACACCAATTACCCCATACTCTTTCCAAGAACTCACACTCCCCTTTCTTGCTCTGGGTCGAACAGCAGGCCTCGGTCATGACTGATGCCTTGTAGCAGCCTCTGCAGCACCTGCTGGCAGAAGCAGCCAGAAGCAGGGATGATTCTGAGATGTCCGAGTGACAAGGCCCTGCCGCCCAGTAAGGGTGGCTTAAGTTTCTCCCAAGATCAGTTGAGGGACCAAGTTCATGATCTTAGGAGCATTTGGCTAACTTCTGTAACCCCAGGGTCTCTCCCGGCCCAGTCGCTATCTGTTTCCTGATGTCCATTTAGGAATGGGCCAAACTTGGGAGGGTCATCATAGGCTGGTGTAGGGTCAGCTTATCCAGGGCAAGGGCTGAGTGTCTAGTCTGGGTGACAGTCAGGGTCTCTTCAAGACCTGACAGATTCTGAATCTATGTACTCTTGAACTTGTGCAAAAGCAGAAGTGAGCATGGGTTTGCTGTAAGGCTTACTTCGCTTCGAGGCTGTTTTTAGGCGGTCTGTTCATGGTTTCCTTCAGTCAGAAGATCCTGAACCCACCCTGTGCTAGCTCTGTCACAGGCCCCAGGGCTTTACCCTGAACAGGTGGACACACTCTCTACCCTCAAGGAAAAGAAGCACCACCACGGAAGGGGCAAGAGCAACACTTCCCTAGTGCAGAGAGCTGGGGCAACACATTCTAGAATGTTCTATCTTTCCTTAACAGGGGCGTTGGCAATGGCATCTAAAGACTAGTTTCTTAAAGAGGCTTAAGAAGCTTTGTTGAAGCTAAAAACTGAATAGTTTTGGATCAGGCTGAAAGAATTTCATGCCTGAACACAGCTAGAAAACTCCAGTGTTCATTATGTGATGAGTTGAGTAGTGTGTGTGTGTGTGTGTGTGTGTGTGTGTGTGTGTGTGTTAATGGGGAGGGCTTTCACTTGATACCCCTCATCCAACTTGACTTTCAGTCTCTCACTGCCCTGCATACCCACCTCCTCGGCCTCCTGTTGAATTGGTATCAGTCCAGCTGTAGCAACCCAAAACTAGCCTGCTTCCTGGAGTCATGTCTTCAGAGCTGGTCAACTGGGCCACCTTTGGACACCGGCCAGCACTGTTGGCTTTGGTCTTTCCCAACTTCCACAGAGCTGGAATTCAGGGTCGCGATAAACATTTTCTTGGGAGAGGAATTTGCAGCTGTATGGGACCAGAGGATGAAGGGATTCCACATGGGGTGCTGGGAGCTGCTGCTACCTGTCTGGAGCCCCCCGCCCCCGCAACCTCCACACTCTGAGCCTGCTCTTCCCTGCTAGACAGTGAGTGCCAGAAGTCCTGGGGCTGCCATGGCATCTTCAAGGATTAGGATAGGAGCTGGTCCATGTGGTAGGCATTAGGCAAGTTTGTTGAATGAATACAAGAACTGCCATGGGAAATCAGCTCTTTTCTGGTCAGTCTCCAAAATGGATCTTAGAAATATTTGAGTGTAGACTTCAGCCAGGTGCTCTCTCTCTCTCTCTCTCTCTCTCTCTCTCTCTCTCTCTCGTGCGTGTGTGTGTGTGTGTGTGGTGGTGGTGGTGGTGTTGTTTTTGTCACCATTCATGGACTCAGTTGAGCCTGTGCCAGGGCCATGAGCCCTCTCCCTCCTAGAAATAAATATGTGAATCTTCTTGTTTCCCACCATTGCAAGGTTCTCTACAGTCCACCGTGTCTGGCCAAGGAAGTCAGGTTTCTTGTTGCAAACCACGCATGCCACGCACAATCTGTCTGGTGGGAGACACAGCAAGTGACAGACCCCCTTACAGCTGCAAGCACTTACTCCAAAGTCGGGCTGTGCATCCTGAGAGATCTCTTGGCTCAGGAATAAGTCCTGCTTGGGGTCAAGCACTGACTCTGAACCACTTGGCCAACACTTCCAAACTTGGGGATGCAAAGAGGAGAGAGATGCAAAACCTTCCCCCAGGCAGGCACTGGACACGGGCTCCTTCAGGTGGCAGGCACAGCTAGGAAGAGAAAAACTCAGGGTGTCAGGGTGGGCTCGGTGCCTTTCTGAGGGGGCCTGAGGAGCAGCCCTCACCTCTGGCCCACCTGAGCAGCCCGGCTGTGACTGTCCTACCCAGGCTGAGAAGGGGGGCAAGGAGGACTATTAAAGACAATTACACACACCAGCTTTGAGTGCTGGTGTTGAACAAACAGCTTTGAGTTCTAATTTTCTGCAAACCACAGACTGCAGGTACAATTTGTACTCATTACTGTATAGTGGGAAAGTTATTAAAAACACTCCAACTTGTTGAAGACTTCCTATGGCATCAGCCCTGGATTTTAATTGGTTTTTATCTCATTCTATGAAAGATCTCTTTAAGCCCAATCAAAGTCCCTGCCCCGGATTCTGTGCCAAGTGCAGGAGAGGGAGCGTGGAGGTAGGTTGTGAGTCCCTGCCTGGTCCCAAAGTGGGGCAGTGTCAACAAGCAGCTAGCTCCCAGAGAGCTTATCCTCCTGGTGGTGGGCACAGTTACGAAATGACAAAGTAACAGTGTTTCGTAACAGAAGGGTTAAATCTTAATCTCTGAGGTTTGCAAAGCTGCTACTCGCAGTCTCCTTAAAATTTAATATACCTCGTTAATGCTTCCTTGCAAACACTGAACGATTTTTATGATTATAATCATGTGTTACAGCACCTAGTACTGTTTCTAAGCAGCATACTAATCAGCTTAATGAGATATTACTGCACTTTTTGTTGACTAAAGCAAAATCCCTTTTATTGTTCTAAAGCCTGTCCTTTACTTTATTTTTTTTCCCAAAACATTATCTTGTTTTATTACGTACCAGTAAATATCATGGCATTGGTGTGTATGTGTGTATTGGCCAAATCATAACACGATCTCTTTCGTCTCAAACTGGAGATATACAGACTCTTAGAACAGTAAAACAAAAGTTCCAAGGGACTCTGGGCTTGTGGTGAGTTCTTTCTGCTCTCAAACTTTGGACAGCACCAGCAGGCACAGGTGCCACCGCGGGGTGGGAGGGAAGGGTATAACACGGACCCTTGGTGTGTTAGTAGGTGTCGAAAGTGGTAAAACATTAATAATTTAAATGTGGAATGAATCATTGCAGTCTGTAAATAGAAGATACAAGGAAGACGATCCATCGCCACAACCAAGTGGAGGAGCGATGCCATGTTGCATAATTGGCATTTAATAATTCATTTTTATTATTGTTTTTGACCATCATTCTGTAGCACGTAGATGAGGCACAGAACTCCACACCAGCAGATAAACTGTGGAGTCATTGGCGCCGCGGTTCCCGCGAACTCAACTCAACTCTTCCTCTTGCTTTCCAGGGATGGAAGAAGCGAGCCTGTGCCTTGGCGTGCCCTCCGCGGCACCGGAAGCTGAGCCCCACCTGAGCAGCCCGGTCCTCAACGGCCAGTATGCCATGAGTCAGAAACTGCACCAGATCACCTCGCAGCTCAGCCATGCCTTCCCTGAGCTGCACGCGCGGCCGGGCACCGAGGAGAAGGCCCAGGCGCCCCTAGAGGAGAAAGCACATGTGCCCCTGGGCAGCCAGCCCATGGGCAGTCAGATGGCGCTACTGGCCAACCAGCTGGGCCGCGACGTGGACACCAGCCTCAACGGGCGGGTGGACCTGCAACAGTTCCTCAACGGGCAGAACCTGGGCATCATGTCGCAGATGAGTGACATTGAGGATGATGCGCGCAAGAACCGCAAGTATCCCTGCCCACTGTGTGGCAAGCGCTTCCGCTTCAACAGCATCCTCTCGCTGCACATGCGCACGCATACGGGCGAGAAGCCCTTCAAGTGCCCCTATTGTGACCACCGTGCCGCGCAGAAGGGCAACCTCAAGATTCACCTGCGGACCCACAAGCTGGGCAACCTGGGCAAGGGCCGCGGGCGGGTGCGCGAGGAGAACCGCCTGCTGCACGAGCTGGAGGAGCGGGCCATCCTGCGGGACAAACAGCTCAAGGGTAGCCTGCTGCAGCCGCGGCCGGACCTCAAGCCGCTGCCACACGCGCCCACGCAGGCCCCACTGGCCACCTGCAACCTGGCGCTGCCAGCCGCCGCTGCCGCCGCCTCTGCGCACAGCGTGCCGGACGCGGCCCACCCGGTGCCCTCCCCTAAGGCGGCCAGCGTGCAGGAGGACTCGGTGGTGCCTGCGGCCGGATTCCGCTGCACCTTCTGCAAGGGCAAGTTCAAGAAGCGGGAGGAGCTGGACAGGCACATCCGCATCCTGCACAAGCCCTACAAGTGCACGCTGTGCGACTTCGCCGCCTCGCAGGAGGAGGAGCTCATCAGCCACGTGGAGAAGGCGCACATCACCGCCGAGTCGGCGCAGGGTCAAGGCCCCGGCGGCGGCGGCGGCGAGCAGTCGGCCAACGAGTTCCGCTGCGAGGTGTGCGGTCAGGTGTTCAGCCAGGCGTGGTTCCTGAAGGGTCACATGCGCAAGCACAAGGACTCCTTTGAGCACTGCTGCCAGATCTGCGGCCGGCGCTTCAAGGAGCCCTGGTTCCTGAAGAACCACATGAAGGTGCACCTCAACAAGCTGGCGGTGAAGAACAAGTCGCCCAGTGAGCCCGAGGTGCCCGTGCCCATGGGCAGCATGTCCCAGGAGGCCCATGCCAATCTGTACTCGAGGTACCTCTCCTGTTTGCAGGGCGGCTTCCTGGCCCCGGACAAGACGGGTCTGAGTGAGGCCGGCCAGCTGTACGGCAAAGGGGAGCTAGCCATGAAGGACAAGGAGGTGTTGGGAAAGCTGCTGTCGCCCGTGTCCAGTGTGGCCCATGCCCTCCCTGAGGGCGGTGGCGGTGGCGGCATGGGGGGCGACAAGCACTCACTCCTGGGCTGCCTCAACCTCGTGCCGCCACTGAAATCCAGCTGCATCGAGCGGCTGCAGGCAGCTGCCAAGGCTGCCGAAATGGACCCGGTGAACAGCTACCAGGCGTGGCAGCTCATGGCCAGGGGCATGGCCATGGAGCACGGCTTCTTGTCGAAGGAGCATCAGCTGCAGCGCAACCACGAAGATGGCTTGGCCAACGCCGGGGTCCTGTTCGATAAGGAGAAGCGGGAGTACCTGTTGGTGACGGCTGACGGCTCCAAGCAGAAAATGCCTGCCGAGCTGGTGCACGGCGCTAAAGTGGGCAATCCCAGGGACTTGCCGAGTAAGCTTGACCCTTTAGAAGGCGGCCGGGAGTTTCTGTCCCAGGGGCTCAGCCAGGCGCTCGACTACAACCTCCAGGGGCCCGGGAACATCAAGGAGAAGCCCACCGAATGCCCCGACTGCGGCCGGGTCTTCCGCACCTACCACCAGGTGGTCGTGCACTCCCGTGTCCACAAGCGAGACCGCAAGGGCGATGAGGACGGGCTGCACGCGGGCCTGGAGGAGCGGCGCGGCTCCGGGAGCGACCAGGAATCCCAGTCCGTGAGCCGTTCCACCACGCCGGGCTCCTCCAACGTCACCGAGGAGAGTGGGCTGGGAGGCGGCCTCTCGCAGACCGGCAGTGCCCAGGAGGACAGCCCCCACCCCTCCTCGCCATCCTCCTCAGGTAGGTAGGCTGCGAGGGCGTGCCAAGCAGCTGGCACAAGGGCTCGGCCCAGTCCGTGCAGGTTCTGCAGGCACTCGGAGTGCCACTTGGTTCCGAGGTCAGTGTGGCTGGGCGGCAGGTGGTGGGCGGGGTGAGCTGAAAGTGGGGACCATCACAGACCTCCTTTCTCCCTCTGGTCTGCCCTGGCACACTGGCTGACAGGAGAATCTGCGGCCCCTCCTCCCACAGGCTGGGGATGGTCAGGTGGCACCATGTTGTACAGGAATGAGGACGCTTGCCCTTCCATCGTTGCTGTCTAGCCCCAGCTCCAACCTGACCCCCGTCCACTGCGGCCTTGGTTCTGCAGGCATGGAGCTGGCGAGCGGTTCTTCCAGGTCTGTCTGCGTGTCTGGACCTCTGCCCTGCGGTCTCCCCTGCCCCCTCAGCTTCTCCCACTAGGCCTCTCTGCCCAGACCACATCCCAAATCACCACCTGGCTTTACCCACCTGCTGGGTGGCACCTGGAGACAGAGGTTTACAACACAGATGCCTGACTGCGTGTCTTCAACTGTGCTGCTGTGGAACACGGGCAATACGGCGTAGGGGTCTAAAATAGCAGAACGGAAGATCTGTCATCCAAATTGCCTGTGAACTAGTGAGGCTTCCTGGCCCCATCTGAAGACACACTACACACTACACACACACACACACACACACACACACACACACACACACACACACGGTTGCTAAATTAAAATCACTCCCAAACAGCAGGTAAGAGGTTGCCTTCATCCGTATTTCCAAAGTCCCTTACTAATGGATAGTAAATTGAAAGTTATATCTCTCGCCCTTTATAAAGAAAGCAGCTCGCTAATACTGTAATCATTCTGAAGCCTAACAACAGAGGAAATCATGCCATAACAAATACCCTGTTACTAATGGCAACATTGATTTCTGCAATCAGCCATTAAGTCTAGAAAATGAAAGACAGTTTGAGGCACCTCGAGGCATGGCATTGCCCACTGTTCAAGATGTGGCAGCACACTGTTGAGGGGCAATTTTTAAAAGTTTTTTTTTTGTTGTTGTTGTTCTCCTCTTCTCCCTACCCCCCCACCCCTCCACCTGCTCCACATCCTTCCCTCAGCAGTATTGAGAAATGTTTCAGTCTGGGAGACAATTCCCTCCTGCAATTATTAAGCAGATGCCGGGTGAGTTTTGTTGTTCTCATTGTTGTCAGGCTTCAGCCTACCCTTCTTCCAGGACAAAATTAGTATTAAAATAAGGCGCGAGGGTGCCGGCTGATTACAAACCAGTAAGGAATGGTTAAGACACATAAATCTAAGCTGCACATTCCAGAGATTCCGATAGCACTTAATGCCGCTGCTTAAATACCCATGAAACACACTGTCTATTCGGGGAGTCCTGCACTCGCCTGCAATTTATTACTGGTGAGACACGGTGAAAGAGTTAGCTAGCACCGTGAGGATCCCACAGGGACGCGGTCCTGCTGCACCGAGTGACTGCTGCCTGCCAGGCACACGCCTGGGTGCACGGCCGGGGGGTCTGCAGGCGTCCAGCCCATTGGTGTGGGCACCAGACTCTGCAAGTGGGGTCAGGGAGCAGGCCGGCCTCCTGCTGCAGGTGGCCCATTTTCCAACCTCCCCAGGAGGGCTTCTCCCCACCCATCTTCCAGAAGGTGCAGCTTCACTGTTGTTGGCCTGGGGGAACCTCTGAGGGGCTCCCCTCAGGAGGGGCTCCCCCTGACACCTTTCCGTCTCTCTCCAGGACCTGCTGGGAGCAGGAACGTCCCAGCCCGGACGCTCGGCTCCTCTGTGACGTGTTTCCCACGTTTTGTTTTTGCCCTCACCTTCTAGTAGCCTCATGCTATTGCTCTCTCTGGTGCTTCTCCACCCCTCCTCAATACCCTGTTGAAAAAAAGCCCATTTTGCTTAAAAGAACCAACCATGCTTATGACTCAAAGGAGAATTATAGTTGAGTTGTGGTTATCTTCCCTCTCCTGTTTCCCTCACTGAAGGGTTTTACAATTGTGAATACTGATTCTTTCATTTCTGGTTGACTTCTTTGTTTTCTTCATATTCAAATGAGACCCTTTCATAATTTTCTGACTAAGTAGGAAAATTGATGGCATACCAATATGCAACCTAAATCAACTGCAAGCTGGGAGCGTTCAGTTTTCCTGGGATTTGGGCCTCTTCACCAAATCTGGTCAGCCTTGCCTCTTATTTTCCAGCAAGTATGACTTGAAGGAAGAGCGATTCAAATAAGCATTTAAATAAAAATCTTGACACAATGGAGATTTTATTATTACCTGTTAGAGAGAAACCTGCAAGGTGAAGGTAGGGGGGGAAAAAAAACCCCACATTTTAAGCCCTTAAGTAAAGAAAGAAGTACTTATTAAGGCTTCTATTAAGGAATAACTGGAAAACACGGTTTTACAAATTTCTCAGACGGCATAACAATGTCACAAAACTTCATTTGCATCGCTTGATTCTTTTTTTGTTGAAAACTGGGTCAGTAGGGCCTGAGAAAGTATTTTTTCAGATCTTAACCAATGAATTCTTCTTTATAAAACGCTGCTCTTAACATGATAGTAGTTCTGAATTCATCATAAAAACCCTTTTTGCCAGAGCCTCTTAGAACAGAGCTCTAAAAGAAGGCTTACAATGAGTGGCAGAGGCGTCCTTTGTTATCTGATGTAATTCTTCGCAAAGGAGGATTGGGAACGGAGTGGCTGTTAAAAAATGTCTTGCTCAGACCGAGACGAAGAAAGGGTCAAGTTTGCAATCAAACAGTTATTGCCGAGATGGGCGACTGTCACTGGCTAGGCTAATGTGGGATGCAGCTGTTTGTTATGTGAGCAAAAGAATGTTTGAATCAGTGAACATGTGAAAATGATTCCGGTGAACCAGAAAATGTGTTTGTTCTTGGCTTTCCAAACTGCTGAGAACCAAGCTTAAGATCAACTGCGAAAACCAGGACCTTTGACAAATTGAGAGGTCATATTTTCGAACAGAAAATGGATAAAACTGGTCACACAGATTATTGCCCCATCTTTTCCTTTTGTCTTCTTTTTTTTTTTTCTTGTGGGGTGGTGGTGGTTTTATTTATTTATTTTTGAATCTGGCTTTGCCAATGATTTCGCACCATCGTAGACGCCATCCCAGCCTCTCCCTGCACCAGGCAAAGGGAAACTCTTTGGAAGGCGGCAGCTTATAAATTTTACTCTTTTATGACATTTAAGAGAGCGGGGCGGCTGTTTGGATGCCTCTTCGTTTCTGGCTTGCGTGCAAAACGTCTAATGGCATTCATCTTTGCATCTTTTCCCCTAAAAGTGCCTCCTAAGCCCAGGCTCAGAGATCCTGGCTCTGCTCGGAGTCGGAGAAGGACCAAAGTTCTGTGCATTCTTATTTTGCTTTGGAAATCACACTCACAATAATTAAAACTTAATGTACTAAGAAACGATACTGTTCATTATATCCAACAGGGCAGTTACCTTCCGAATTCCCCATAATTTTGGAGTGGGGATAATTGAAGTGCTGATGGAGGGAAGGGGGTAATTGAATGCATTGACCCTCTGTTCATTAAATAAAGTCGGCTAAGTTGCATGATCAATGGAAAACCAGGGAGAGATGCAAAGAGGAAAATATCGTTAACCCCTGCTACTTCTGCCGTAATATTTTGAGATGGACGAGGGTTATTTGATCAGCTGGACTGAAAGCCTGGCAGGGTCCTCTTTTGTTGCCTGAGCCACATTCTTGAAAATGTTGGGTCTCCATCCTGTGTAGGCCCATTGACCACAGCCTCAAAGGCCCTTCTCGGGGACCCCTGTGCGTTTTACATGCGCTTGTATAGTGATATGATAGATTTTCTTTCTTTTCCTTGTGTGACTCCCTGTCCCCACTTCTTACCCCCTTCCAGATCTGACCACTGCCTGCCTGGCCCACACAAACAAATCCAGGCACCCAAAAGAAAAGGAGGGGAAAAAAAGAAAAAAAAAATTAAGTCTGAGGATTAAGATCTTCATTTTTTTTTTTTTTTTGCTTGTGCATTCCAATTGTTCTTAAAATATTTGGCAATGTCAATTAGTAACTGAGCAGAGTTAGCTGATGAACACAATTTTCCAGTAGACTGAGCACCCTATTGTTGCCTGGCGAACAGCAGATTTCTGAGGTCATTATCATTCGCTGGTTGCTTGGCCCAGCTGCTTCCTGCTGCAAAAGCCAAACTTTATACTGGAGCTCAGGGATGGTTGCAGCAACAGGGGGCTGGGAGGGGGAAGAGGGGAGCGGGCTGCAGAGCTGAGCACACGCATTATCAGCCAAGGAAGCAGAAAGGAAAAGTTTCTGGGCAATTCCAGGAGAACTGCCCTGCCAGCCTCGCTGTTTCCTGTTCTCCCTGCTTCTTTTACACCTCCACGCAGGGGGAGAGAGGGTAGGGGGTGGGGCGGGGACACCGTGGCCTCGTGGCCGCTAATCTCTGTGCTGAGCAGAACTGCCGGAAAACAATCAGGCCATTTATGCACGCCCTTACAGCACGTTAGCTCAATCGGAAGCATGTGAGCCCGTCTTCGCCACTTTTTTTTTTAGAGAAACAGGGTGGAAAGCAGGTTGAGTTTGAGGATGATAATCTGTAACTTGAAATTGGGGTATGGGGGCGACAAAGCCAGGCAACCTCACGGGTATCTGAGCAGACGCTGATCTGAAATTCCTTCTCAGCTCCGATTTGAAGTCCGGTGGAGGCAAGGTGGGGGCGGGGAGCTCTCTCTGCCCATCCCGGCTGGCTTCCTCTGCTCCCACCTCCTAGTTGGGGAGCTGGTTCAGCGAGATGAAAAGCTGCACTTTTTTTAAAGCTCAGCTGTTAAAGCCGAGCGCCATATGCAGCGCGTGCGTCCCCGCCGTGGGAGTGTGTGCAGGCGGCCGCCGTGTTTGTGGAGATTTACGGGGCTCTGCTCGTGTGTGCCGAAGCCGTGCCCAGACGGACGGTGGCCAAGGCCAAGCCTC